AGTGTAATGGTGACTAAAGGGTGTTTTTTCATGTCCTCTATGCTCTAACTATGAAAATATTTGATTTACAAATAAGGAATCCTACTTCGTGGAATTTCATTTATCACGGTAGGGTCTAGAACCGATTAACCGCGATAAACGAGGGTTCACTGTACCTATATACTCATGTTACAAGATAGAGAACATTTCTAGTGACCCACAAGACTCCTGCGTAGCCTCATGTAGGTACTACACCGCTGAAGATACCCAGAAGCCCCCACGCCTGCATCTTCAGGTCTACTCAGCATGTTTCTTGTCTGTGCTTCACTTAGTTAGACCGGGTGTGGTGTCAACACGGTTTATGAACCCACCTTTCGGTTTTAACCGAATGTGCTATTGCTTTCGAAGTTCTTCTCTACTTGAGATAGTAATCAAAGGATATGTTCAGTGGGGGCTCTGGCATTGATTTCTTCTGGGGAGGGACAAGCATTCATTGCTTTTGTCTCTAAAATGTGCTTGTATTTTTCATATTTGTTCTGTCTTCTTAATTGCTTTCAACTCATAAAAGTGAAGTTGATGTCCATTTATAAAGCTAAAAAATGCAACAAAGCACATGTGTACCCACATATTCAAACATAAATTCCATACCTAAGACATAGATACCGAACGGTTAGCTATTTATTATTTAGGGTTTAACATACGTATGTATTAAAACCGGAAACCCTGTCTCATTTTCCAGGGGAAGCCGTGAGTGCTGGAGACGCACTGTGTGAAATTGAGACGGATAAAGCTGTGGTCACCTTAGACGCAGGGGACGACGGCATCTTGGCCAAAATAGTGGTAAGTTTTTCTTTGGATCGTTTTCGATATGATGAAGATTTCTTCAATACAGTGTGCCTTCAGGTAAAATTTCTTGATTTGTGTTATCTACTACACTCACTCCTCACTTCTTGACATGGTTAGGTTCCAGCCACCTGGGGGTTACAGGAAAATCGGCATTGTGGGAAAATAAGGACAACCATATCAGATAACAAAAGGGAGGATAAGCACACCATTACCTAATTTCCAGAGTGCGTCGTTGCATCATTGCCAAGCCACTGAGAATCGTGGTCTAGCCAACTTGACACGTAGCCACCACAACCGGGGTTATTCGCGCTGCGCCTCCCTGTTCGGTCCTGTCTGCGGATCTGTCTGTGCAGTCGTTGGACAGCAGATTTTCAGCTCTGGTTTTGATGTGGAACATCCGGGAACAAGCTGATCTGTCCATCAGAGAGGAGCACAGCCCACCTATCCTGTTGCCATCTGGGTGACTCCCTCTCCCAGCGCCGCTGTGTCGGGTTTCCAAGGCTGCCCTCTTTCTGCGGCTCTTGGTGGCGGACGGCCTCGTGTTTCTCCTGAGGAGCGGCTGGTGGATTTGGACCACCAACCTTAGAGGTAGCAGTCCACTGCTTACCCATCGGTGCAACCCGTAGGTCATATTTAGTGCAGTGTTATTTCAAATGTATGGAAGGTGGTACTAGTATTAAGGTCTGAAAAGAGACCGGGAGTATGAGTATCAGACTCTCTCAAATGTGACATTGATACTCAGTTTTCTGAGTTTCCTAGTGGAAAATGGGAAACTCTGGCCCATGGGATAAGAGGGACAACGCCACGTGAGGTGGAATCTGAAGATGAAGGAGGCCAAGGTTAATGCTGAGAGATAGAAACTCTAAAATTAACTTGGGGAACTTAAACAGAAGCAGTATTTCCCTGCCATCACATGAAAGAAAGAAAGAAAGAAAGAAAGGTTGTCGTCTCCAAGCAGAACTTATCTTTAAGATGTCTGTAGGGTCCCTAGCCACAATCACTTGCCTGAGTCAGTAATTATCATCCTTTGGACATTTTTTCTAATGATTTAAATTATATATGATATAAAAGGCCGTGTATATAATTCACTTATGTGAAAATAGTTGAGTTGACAGGTTTTTCTTTAGATAGGATCTTGTTTGTTCCTTGAGCCTTTTTACATAGGTAATATGCTTGTCGATCTAGCAAACCGTAATTTCCTTTTGTGGAAATTGCATTGTTGTTGTGGTGTGCCCCCAACTCTGGCCCGGGGGTCCTGCTCCAGAGGGGTTTCTTTGCGATAATCGTTTTGAGAGCATCAAGCCGTCCGTGCTTTCCACCCATTGCATTGGGGGGCGGGGGGTGGGGGGTGTGCTCATGCTGTTGGCTTTTTGATTAGCAGTCAGGCGCTTTGCCATTTCTCCAGTGAAATTTTAATACATGAAGCAATATCGAGTGCTCTGCTTTCCCCAAGAAGTCTGAAAGTCCTTGCTTTATAATTGAAACTAGGAAGCTGCCACTTGAATACTCTAATGGCTTTATTAGGAATAGAAGTTAGTATCATCCTTCAATCAAATTAGCGAGCAATACAAATGAGGACCTATGTGGAATGTATCATAAACATTAAAAATGATTTTTAGGAAAAGAACTTCTGTTTCAGTGCATTCCAATCTGTTGATAAAAGTTGCAACATTTTGAAACAAATGCTTATGCTCAATGATTGCATCACACAGGACTTTGAGGAAAAACAAATACTGAAAAAGGACTCGAAAAAAATGTTATATAAATATTGAGGGTTTGTAACTGAGTCATCCTCACCTCACCTCTTCTACTTTTCTATATTTTACCTTTTTCCCCATAACGCGCATGCCATTTTTATAAAGGAGAACCTGATTGCATTTGAAAAAGTAGATAAAATGCTTTAGAGTTAGGTAATCTTGTCACTGAGCTGGAACCAACCAGCATGTTTACTTCTTTATTTCTCAAACCTTTAATAGATAGTAAGGTTAGTGGCACAGTGGTTAAAAGCATTCAGCTGCTTGCCTAAAGATCAGCAACTCAAAAAAAATCAACTCCACCCGCCAGCAGTCTTGCCACGAGAAAGATGAAGGTCAAGACCAACTCCATGGCAGTGGGGTTTGGTTAGATCTCTTCCTAAACTTTGTATGGTTTGATTTCCACTGACAACTGCACATCCATTTGTAGCCCCTTGTTTGACCCGTCCTGCGGGCCATCAAACAACGTGGATACCTGAAAGAGGGACTGGGAATGAAGAGAGGCAAGAGACGCAAGAAATGGAGGCAAGACAGGAATCTGATCAAGCCTCAATTTATTGAGCAGAAGGCAGGGGCTTAAATACCCTATGGTGGGCGGGTAACATTACATCATATGCTAATAAAGTGTAATGAATACCCAATGGTGAATAACATTACATCATATGCTAATAAAGTGTAACGAATAGTATCCAATAATCATGTAGCTACAATATGGAAGAAATGGCAGGTATCAGTCCTCAAACAGGTCCGCATGTAAATGGGGTGCACTTGGACGGTCCACATGTAAATGAGGTGCACTTGGATGCCTGGCGGAGGTGTCCAATGAGCATGGCGGCTGCCTGCCACCGAGCACCAATCATCACAAAGGCCAAACTCAGGCAGGACAATAGGCCAGGGAACATGCGGGAATGGGAAGCTTAAAGACAGCAGACGGCGCAGCCCATGGGCTGAGAGACATGCAGACTCCCACATGTGCAGACTCCCACATGTGCAGACTCCCACATGTGCAGACTCCCACACTTGTTGGTGTGTCTTTACTTCTGAGGCATTAGTTTACCTTGACACCTTCCTTTGTATATTCTAAACAAAGACCATGCTTTGAACATTGTACTCATGTTGGATGTAGATATCAATAAGCAATTTGTGTTCCCATTCAGGTTCCTTACTAGAAAGTCTCCTTTCCTTTGTTTCTTGTCACTTAGCTCTTATTTTATTTTTGCTTTTTAATTTGTCAGGCTTCTTTTACTTGTTACCTACGATATTAACAGCCAGGTTGTAGCATTGCTAGCTGCAATTGCATGTAGCTAACCTCCTTGGAGAAAATAAATGAGTGGCTGAAATTCCCTTACCGTGGTAGCTGATAAAACGTCCAAAATAAGTTCAACTCATTTACACTGCATTCTTAAAAATAAAAAGATTATTTAAATTACCCATATGTAATAAGCACAGCTACATTTTGTTGTGTTTGCTTTTGGCAATCTGTGCTCTTGACCTTGACTCTGGACTGTTTGGCTATGAAAGTCTTCCAGGATGGATAGCATTTTCCATTCAGCTGCTTAGTAATGCATTTCAATTGCCAACAATGTCAGTGGGTCAGTAGTGCCTATTTATCGGGCCCCTAATGCTTGAAAAAGGAAGAAGGTGGTTTCCAATTGATAGCAGCTTTAGCAGCAGGAACAGCCATTTCCCCTGCCAACCAGAAAATTGCGTATATTAGTGGCTGTATTATATTCCTCATGCATTTTAGATAATGGGAGTACCCAGTGTGTTGATGTCACATTGTATGCAGTTGTACAGGGAAGAAAATGAAGGGGAAAGGAGGGCGGTATCGCTGGTGCCTTGTCTCTGCATTGTATATTTTCTAATGGCACCCTCTTGCCCTCCCCTTTCCTCTGCTGGTCCCACTAGCAAGAGCTAGTTATAGGGGGGAAAGGACCCCAGATTCAAATACATCCATGAGGGCCTCTTTATGAAGTCAGAAAATGGGAGAAAAACAAGACAAAGGCAAAAACCGAATCATTTGAATGCTATCAGCATGAGGTCATAATGGTGTCCGGAGGATTAACTTAATTGTGATCTGAAAATAGAAAACTCACTCATTCCTTACAGTTGCAGGTGGGGCTGCAGCCAGGACAAAGGGACCATGTTTGTGATACCGACAGAATGGCAGACCTACAAAGGTACAGGGTTGGTTCTCGAGTTAGATCTAGACCGTTAGGCAGTTTGTGTTCTCATATTTCTCACTGTACCATCTTGGTCAGGGCAGTGTTCATAAGCATGCAGCCCTCAAACTCAGACGCACTGCCTTCCAATAGATTCTGACCCAGATTTTCACCAAGGCAAGTCCGTGCAGGTGCGACGGGCCTTCACTGGGCGGCCAGGGTAGTCCCAAAATCTCCTGTCAACACAATTGCCTGTTGACATTGCCAGTTAGTCAGCTATCAGAAAGTACTTAGTGGATACTTAGAGCTTCCACTGTAAGCTATATCCTTTCAGGATTTATATCCCAACAAATGCACGCCTTTGTCATCCAGTGTGGATTAGGCCTTTACTCACACACATAGGGAAGTGATTTTTGCTTTCAAAACTAACAGCTCAGATAAAGACAAAGGATGAGCTACAACTGTCATTTTTCATTTTAGTCCACATTTTTAAGGGATTAAAAATGTTTTCTTTTACTCTTTGTTTCCAGTCCTTTAGAGGTATATCTGTGCTTTATTTTCCTCCCAATTGCAGTGGAGGGTTTTTTGTGCTCTTAAAATTTATGCAACTGATTTCCATTTTAAATATAATTACATTACATTTTAACTAGTACCAGACACAAAGTGTAGATGTTGCTAAGAGTGTTAATGAAATAATAATTGCTGTTCAGAGAGATAATTTTATGATTTATTTTCAATTTACTTTAGTTAATGGGAAATTTTTTCATTTCTCACTTAATCACTCGCATATTATCCCGTAGAACGTCAACAGCTGCTTTAAATTATAAATTAATTTTTAAAATCTAAGAATTGTTTAATTCATGAATGAATTAGAAAATATTCCTTCTTACTTTCTTGGAAGACCTTAAACATCACTGGTATCAGTTCTTAATGATTTGAGAGAGTTGCCCAGTGAAGCAATCTGGTACAGGATTTTTATTTATTTTTTTTGAGGATGAGTTCTGTCACTGATTCAATATCTTCATTTGTTATGGTCAGTTGAGGGCTTATGTATCTCTTGAGTCACTGGGTTAGTCTTGTGTCCATTTTATGTAGGTTATACAGGTTACATCTAGTTGCTTACAATATTCTCTCATAAGTCAATTTACAGGCAGTCCCTAGGTTACAAATGTTTATTTGTAATAAATTTGTAATAAATTCTCTCATAAGTCAATTTACAGGCAGTCCCTAGGTTACAAATGGGTAGCTGTTACTGGTTTTGCCATGGCCAACAAAAAGAATCATGAGCAAACTGGAATTTAATCAAACAGGAAAAAAACTCAAGCCAAAACCCGGGAATGGAGACTCACAGGAGGCATGGTTATCCCTTTGGGGAGTCTGATGCATGAAATGAGATTAATCTTGGCAGGCTGCTGCCAACTTTGAATGTAGTCTCTGATGTCAGGCTGTGTCCTGATTCTGCTATTCAACTGACCTTGTCGTCTTGGCTTCCTCGCCTGTCAATGGGAATGATCACAGTACTTGTCTAGTACAGTTGTTAGGAGCACTGAAGGAGTTGATACTGCACTAGAGCAGGCCCAGGACTTGAAGACTGCCAGAGAGCTACTATTCAAGGAGTATTTCTTCTTCCCCACGGACGTTTGACTTGTCAGGCCTCTGTGTTTAGCTTTATTGTTCCTTATGCAGCTCCTTTTAAAATAGAAATGCCGGAGGAAGGCGGTCCTCTGGGGTTAGGTGGTGGGGTGGGGGGGTCGGTCAGTAAAAAAAAAAATAAATAAAATAGAAATGCCTTCCCCATACAAGTTACGCAGGATTGTCTTCGTTATCCGGTACCGCTATAAAAGCAGTGCTAGACATAGGCGGCTTCATCCAGCAGAGACTCACTTTCTCAGGGGCTAGTAGTCTGAATTCAGAAGGCTGCTCTAGGGAATGGAAGGGTTTGTTTTTTTTCTGGGGCGGGGGTGGGGAGGGGAGAATATGGGTCATCTCTGGGGGAAGGTCCGTCATTTCAGCTTCTCCTGGTTCCTTGGAGACCTCCATGTGCCTTCACATCTTTCCTCCTCATCTCCCTTGCTGGCCTGTTTAATTTCTTAAACAAAAGAGATTTACTCACGACATACCCTATACTGATCTTGCCTCATTAACGTAACAAAGACAACCCTGTCCTCAATGGGATTATAACCACACGCATAGAGGTTCAGATTGACAGCACATATTTCAAGGAGACATAACTCAATCCATCAACATGTGCATATTAAAAAATAAAAACAGTGCAAAGCTTTGTAGTCGTTCAGCCAGCCCATCACTCAGCTCCTCCCCACTGCCTGCTGTGCGGTGGTTTCAGGACTTGCTTTGCAGCTCTCAAACTGTTCTTGTTTAAAAAGAAAAAAAGGGGGTTAAATAATCATTTAACTTATTGATTGTTTTCAAACACCAGAATCTATTTACCAGTACTTTGAATGGTAATCCCCCCCCCTCCCCCAGACACCTTCTGTTAAGAGAGAACACGTCCATATTTCTATCTTGACTCCAGCTTTGCTGGTATCATCTGGAGCTGAGACAGTCTGCAGAGTGGTTTTAGCACATTTCCCAAGTGGTTAATGCCACCTGCCGAGATGCTGCTGGGGCAAAAGCCTCATATGAGGCAACTGGACCAGAGGTGGAATTTAGCCTTCTCGTGTGCTAACCCAGTTGGTCACAGGTCTTACCACCTGTTGGCTCTTCTGCTGCTCTTTACGAACTATTACTGGCCCTTTAGGCTTGAATTTGCTAACCTTGTGCTCCTCTATCAACTAACCTTGATCCTACTTGTTGAATGTATTTGCTTTCAAGAAGCAGTGCTTTGGAGGAAAACACAACCATGGTAGTAATGATAATAACACATCTAATATATATTATGTTAGGCCGGTTGACTAGAGAAACAAATCCAGAGATACTCACATTTGTATAAGAGCTTAATATCAAGAAATAATTGTATATCTTTAAGTTGGCATGAAATTATTTAACTAGTACATATGTGTAACAGTTATTATGTCAGATTGATTTGTTCCTTGATAAATCTGGGCAGTAGCTACGATGATCACTCATGTTTAGAGAAAACTGGCACACCTTTAAAAGATGTGTTATGGCAAGAAGGGAATGGAAGACATCACATGAATTGACTTAAATTCCTGTAGTGATTTTAATGCCTTTAAGTGGGTTCATGCGTCATGGTAACACTTTTTTAATGGAAATAGATGAATAGTTAAAAATCAATTCTATAAAATATGAAGTGATGCTAAATGATGCTACCAAGGGTATATCTGGAACCCTTAATAAGATGGAGTGAATTAAACCGTTGAAGTGCCTGTTTCAGACGCAGAGGGTGTTCCCATTCCAGCCCACCACAGTGAAGAATGTAGCAACAGTCTAAGTCACACACATGTTCTGGCTTTCCCAGACATATGAAAGACAAGTTCATACTATACAGTAATCTATTAAATACAGTGCCGTTGTTGTTAGGTGCCTTTGAGCCAGTTTCAACTCATGGCAATCCTGTGGGTAGCAGAATAAGACATTGCCCGTCCTGTGCCATCCCACAGTTGTTATATTAGAGGGCATCGTTGCGCCACTGTGTCGATCCATCTTGTTGGGGGTCTTCCTTTATTTTCACTGCCCTTCCACTGTACTAAGCATGATGTTCTTTTCCACGAGCTAGTCTTCCCTGATAACATGTCCAAAGTGAGATGAAGTCCCAACTTACTTTTCTCTCAGGAGCGTTCTGGCTGTCCGAAGAAATGTGTTTTTATGGTCAGTGCATGTACTTTGAATAGTCTTCCCCGGCAGCACAATTCATCGGCCCTTCTTCATTCTTCCTTACGCAGTGTCCCGCACTCAGGTGCAGATGAGGCCAATGAAAATACCATGGGGTGGGTCAGGCGCACCGTAGTCTTTGGGTTCAGCTCTTTAAAGCAGTCTTTTGCAGCCGGTGTACTCACTGCAGTGTGTCAAGTGATCTCATGACTACGTCTTCCGTGAGCATTGATTGTGGACCCAGGCAAGATATATTGTCTTCATTTATCATGATGTTGCCGCTTGGTCTAGTTAAGAGGGTTTGAGTTTCTTCTCTACATTAAATTGTAGTCCATATTGAAGGATCCAGTCCTTGATCTTCATCAACCAGTGCTTCAGATCCTCTTCAATTTCAGCAAGCGTTAATAAGCTTTGCTCCAAACCTGATGCTGCATTATGAAAAAGTAAAATATTGTGAGAATTACCAAAATGGGACACAGACGAAGGAAGCCCATGCTGCTGGGGAAGTGACCCTGATCAGCTTGTTTGACATAAGACTGACGTAAACTTCCAATGTGTGTAAAATACCGTAACCGCCATGTGAAAGACACCGAAGCCCAATAAAGTGAGGAGTGTGCTCTAGTGGCTAGCTCAGCCTCAGAAACCTACGGGGGGTTCGCAACAACTCCTTAAAATTTTAATGAATGCTTTTATTTGAGTGAAATTCTTGGTGCTTGGATATTATAATTATTATTATTATTATGGAATCCTTTAGCATTTTTTTCACTTGCAATTCATTAAGCATTCTTAATTTTATATAACCATTTCTTTGTAGTTCACGTCATCAAAGTGCTGTTTCTCTTCCCCATCAGTAATTAAACTTTAGGAAGCTTCCTGACACCCAGACCTTATGCCCTTTTTACGTTAAGAAAAGTGTGCATGCTAATAAGCATTCAAATTAGCGTTACTCAGAAATGTCAAACTCATTCTGGGAGTTAACCTTGTACTTATAATTACATATGAGAGGATGCCCTGCCTTCTGTCATCCTATTATGCATTAAATTACATCTGTAATGAACCTTCGCTAGAAAAATTGAATGGAAACAATTGATTTCAAAGAAATGCTATCTTTCAGTATTGAATTTAATATAGCCCACTTTGAGAAATTAAATTGACATTACTGAAATGCTTAAAATATACATATCTTTAAGTTTTAGTAAAAATCATCTTCAGTGTTTTTTATGCTTTGGTATTATCTGTGATAGCGCTTGGTAAGGTGAGGTGCTACTGCGTTGATGAACTATTTATAAATCCATGAAGTCTTTTCCCCTCAGATTTTATTATAGACCTATGGAGAAAGAATTAAATACAGGGAGAAGGCGCTTGACACCTTTCTATTAGGCAGGATAGTTACCTAGTTCTTATATCTCAGACTAAGTTTACTAAAGAGAGTTTTTAAGTTAATTCCAGTGGATAGGACGGATCTGGGGCAGGGTGTTAATGCTTTATGGCTTGGCATTGCTGTACCAATGTTTAGGAGCTACACAATGAGGGATTCCCAAAGTTCATGCACAAAAGGAATGAAAAGATCCTGGAAATCCTCCAGGAACGTCTGGAAGCTCGCTCCTCTGAGAAAGGAAGAAGATGAGCTATAAAACAAGGTTAAAGCACAGCGCCCTGTTTCTGATTTGTACCGGTGCACCTCATAAGGCGATAGTCATGACAGCTCTTGTCTGTTGTGTTTGTATTTGGAGACTGTCAGGAAGAAGAGAGGGTCTAGGTTTTTTCTTTACTTCCCACGGTACCAGCGAGGGGGCAGGTGAAGGGCGTGGTAAGTGGTAATAGGTAGACCCAGAGGGTGAGGTTGGAGGGAGGCTGCTTAGAAGTAAATCTCAGCTCAAAATAAAAGTTACTTTAACTAGTATGAAATTATCTTTAAAAAACCCAGTCTCAATTGCTGTGTGTCAATTCTGACCCCGGGCGGCCCTACAGGGCAGGGTAGAACTGCCCCTGTGGTTTCCAGACTTTAACGCTTTCTGGGAGTAGAAAGCCTGTCTTTCTCCCATGTTCCACTTGGTGGTTTCAAACTGGGGACCTTGTGGATTGCAGCATAACTTGTAACCACTAAGCCTCCAGGAATCCTAAAATTATGCCAGAGTTATAATGTCCTTCATAAGGTCAGGAGGTTCTCCATTCAACACTTATTTTCTTTTTAAAATACAGGTTGAAGAAGGAGCGAAAAATATACGGCTAGGCTCGTTAATTGGCTTGATGGTTGAAGAAGGAGAAGACTGGAAGCATGTGGAAATTCCTAAAGATGTAGGCCCTCCACCACCAGCTGCAAAGCCTTCCATGCCTCCCCTTCCACCGGCACCCCCGGTTTCCGCCCCTGTCAAAAAGGAGCCCCGCCCCGGGAAGCCTCAGTGAGTATGGCTCCTGGAATGGACGTGGCGTGGCAGCCTGTGGTACTTTAATCCTTATCATGAAGGGAAAGTGACTGATCTTTTCCTCCTAGGAGGCTGAGGCCGACCAGTGATGGTTTCACTGTTGCTTCATTGTTTATTCCGCAGACAAAGTCGTTGAAAACCTGTCGCGTTCCAAGTTTTGCTGAACAGAGGCAAACAAAACCATCTATGTCCACAGTGAGCTTGAATTAGGCTGTAGGATCCCGGAATGGCATTCAGTGTTGTACCAGACATTGTCCTGTGTTCCCATTCATGGAATTCCAGTTTCAGATATAGGGCGGATATGAAATGGAACTGGCATTTGTAGCATCTATTCCTTTTAAACCTACTCTGCATCTGGGTTTCTAACTCAAAGCTAAACAATATGTGTGTCCCCTACCCATCCAATTGTGTCTGTATCCAAAACATACTTTGTAATTACAGTTTTAGAGAGAGAGAGCTTTAATTGATGGACTTTGGGAAATATAACACACATTTCAATTTATTTTAATGTTCTGTGTAAATACAGAATTTCTTTTTCTTTACAAGAAAAATAGTTCACAGAGGAAAAAATTCTGTTAACTCCTTTTTGAAAACAATATAGACGTGTGTGTGTGTGTGTGTGTGTGTGTGTGTGTGTGTGTGT